TATGGTTTCCAACCCCAATGACCCCTGTTTGGGATCATTGTGATCTTTTATGGTCCAATGGTATTAGCGCGGAGGGTTGGTCACGTGTCATTACATCCTTAGGGTGCATTCGTATCTCGTTAAACGCAGCGATAACGCCGAATTTCGAGAAATATCGTACGCGACTCAGACGCGTCAGGGTCTCTTAAATTAGCGGCGGTGCGTTTCTATTTTTAATAGTAAGGGCGTTTAGAGAGCGGTAATCGACGTAGATTCGGAGTCCGCCTCTAGGTTTCTTAACCACTAATACGGGCGATGTATAAGGCGATTTACTCGGTTAAATAAAGTCCTTCCCTAGCATATTCTCGACGTACGCTTTTATAGCCTCTGTATCATCGCGAGAGTAACTAAATAAACGTTTCGCGGGCCTTAAAGCGCCCGGTTTAAGGGTAATACGATAATTAATACTTGGCCGATTTAGTAGAAGCTTGTCCGCCTCCTTTAGATCGAAGATATCGATATAGGGCCTATAGTAATCTAGTAATATCTTAAGTAGCTCGGCTCGAATAAGCGGCTTTATATCTAGCTTATCGTAGAACTTTTAGTAGACCTCTAGCGAGATAGCGGCTAGGGACTCGGCGATATTAGCGGTCGTCTTTAGTCGTGAACGTGGTCGGCCTTCTCGTCCTAGTAACTCTTTAAAGTCTCTCGGGTATAATGCGCATATTTGATACCCAGGCCTTCTGGCTATACGCATGAGGGCGTAAGCAGATACTACTTATACATCGATCTTTGGTTTGTCTGTTTTGTCGTTCTCTTTTTTATGGTCGTCGTACGGTCCTAGGTGGTAATGTCCGCGTGAATATATCGTACATGCTTTGAAGTGCTCCAGACATTAGATGCTGCAGAATTCGGAATTGAATGTTAAAGATCTCTTCTTCTAAGAGACGTCGGGGTCATGTTCCTCTAACCACGGCATGCCAAGGACCACGTCGAAGGTGCCTAGGTCAGATATATATCCGACGACATATGACAGGTGCTCTCGGTGTTTGACCTCTATTAGAGTATCGTGGCGTGGGTAAGAGGCGCAGTTTTCTTATCGTCAGCGTATCCTAGCAGCATAGGCACTGACAGTTCCCAAATAGGAAGCTTTTCTCGCTTTACAACTCTCGGGTCAACGATGGCCATCGTAGTACTACTAGAGTCGACTAAGCTAACTCCTTAGACGTGTTTTTTCTATGCTTTTAACTATATCCTACATCTAAAAGTTATCTAGTTTGAACTTTTAGGCTCTGGTCTTTTCTTCACTATTTCCTTAAACTCCGCTTCCCGTTCGGTCTATATACGGATACTAGAGACACGGATTCTCTGCTTTTCTCGTAAATAATGCGCTCGTTAGGCTAAGTTAATCTCGGCCACTGTTAACCCCCGGAGGCGACTATCGCCGGAGGGTCTTAGTTTTCCGAATCGGATGACTT